GTGCAAAAGATATTAATGAACCAAAATATGAAAAACTTCAAGAAAACTATACTCAATTTGATGAGTTGGGAGAATAAGATATATTGAGCGTAAAAAATAAAAAGTTATTACAGTTATTTAAAAAATTTAAAAAGGAATCGTTATTTTGTTCCAGCATAGAGGATATGATTGACATCGATAAAACGTTTAGATCCATCGATAAAAAATCTGATTATTTTTGATGATTTTATTACAGAAAAAAAAATCAATCTTAAATTGTAGATTTCTTTATCAGAGGAAGGAAGAAAAATGCTTCAATTATTTACGTATTTCAATCCTATTATTCAACACCAATTGATATAAGAAGAAACTGTAATTATATTATTTTCTTCAAAATTCAAGACAAATTAAACAGATAATTAGAGAAATATATGGATCATTTTGTAAAAATTTATATAGTAAAGCTACACAAAAACCATATGATTTCTTTATGCTAGATCTCAAAAACCCAAAGATAAAGTATGGACGTAATTTTACTCCTTTATAAATGGAAGAATACTTAGAAAAGAAAATATGTTTACAGAAAGCTATAATCATTATCATATAATTAGTGTACAGGTAACCCCCATCTAACACGGTAGTTACGTTCCAAAAAATTGCCGTGTTATGTGTAAGTTCGCCGACTTCCTGGGGGGAATCGGCGAACTTACAGAATGATCAAGGGTCGAACGCGTGTGGGTGTGGCGGAGGAGACACAGATGACAAGAATCTCACAAAAACCCGTTTATTTTAAACATAAAATTTAACTTACACCTAGGAACAAATATTGTCTAGCTACAATCGACTGTTTGGACGTCGTAGATGTTTATCTATCGTCACTCGGAGATGGGCCCCGGGGCTGCTGCAGGTAAGGAGACTTGTCAGTAGGCGTCAGCGGCACGGCTCTCTCGATGGACACTAGTGCGGACTCTTAGTCTTCTGTGCATCGACACACAGAGTTATCGCTTCGGACTTGTTGGAGTGCAGGTAGTCCGTAGCACAGTTACGGAAGAAGTCCCCTGTCCTCGAAGATCGGGGATTATATCAATCTCTGTTCTTTAATTTGTTTTCTGATTGACTCCCTTGTCTGTTTCTAAGCGAAAAACGATTGCTTTTCGAGTCACGAGAAAGATCCGCCTTGAAGAATCTACTTGACACCATCCGTAACTCTGGATGCAAAATGTTGATGAAACTTTGAAACTTGCGCTCATATTTTCCACCATTGTTGTCTAGTCTGTGACGTTAACGACACGACGCGATGTTCTTTTTCGACATTAATCTTTTCTCTTTTCAAAATTTCTAAGTTCTAATTATGTGCATATGAGCGACTTTTCAAAGGTCCATCTCTACTGGAGGTCGTTTGTTTACAATTATTAATTAAATCATTTAAAATTATCGCGTTCCGTTTACATCAATAGCGTTTTTTTCTCTCTCGTTGCGGTTTCATATGACTAACACAACTAATTCGATCTTTGATCGGTTTACATACTTAAGTACTAATAGTTCACGAAAATAATAATTTTCGTGAACTATTATTACTTAAGTATGTAAAAATTTATTACATTTCCTGTTGTACGAGGGTTTCACTCAATTCTCGAACCGTGTTAGAGTGAATCCGTGCTATAGAAGTGCCGTGTTATACGGGGGTTACCTGTACGGGGAGGTTTTCGAAAGTACAGTAGCCGCTTTAAAAAACGAAAATAGTGAACTGGGTAACGTGGTTAACAAACTGAGGGATCAAATCTGCCAACTCAAAGAACAAGTGATGGATCACGTTAAGAGTGGTTGCCAAATTATGATTAGTCACGATTTTTAAGTCGGTTGATCAAAAAATAATTGCCTGTTGTACCAAAAAATATTATAAGAAATGTTTTCGGATGGAACGTTACGTGCCTTTTCCGCTCAGATGAAGTGATAATGCTAGTTCCTGGAAGTATCATACCTTGATCTATGCAAGTATTGATAGTTTCTCAATTCTTCCTATCTGCCGGTTAAAATTAGGGCATTACGTAGGATGAACTATTAACTGAATCTAATGCCATAATAATTATCCTAGCAATATCGCGTTTTGCTATTTAAGTATACTATTTTCGATAAAGTGAAAAATAATCTTCGAAAAAAAAAGAACGCTGCTTTGTGCTTCTAGTAACGAAATCTTTTTTATTCGATATTTACTTTTTCCTGTCATTTTAATGCGGCAGCTGACATTTGAGAATTCTTAATTTTATTGTTAGATAAAATAGTGCTTGTTATTTTTATACTAAAATAAAAAAAAAAGACTTGGAGTTAGCTCAATAATTTTATATATTGTGAAAAGCAGAAATTATATATATATATATAAATGATATATATATTGTACAGAAATGTGTATTGGAGGGGTTTGTGTACTTAAATTATATGTCTATTTTCTATGTGTGTTTTTTATTGACTTTATCGAAGAGAATGTGTAAATAAAATAAAAGTTTTTTTTTTTCACTTGGAAAATTTATATTTAGTGCTTCAGGTCTATCTGCGTTTGTTATAGTTCCATTAGCAGTATTAAGCTTGGGAGCCTGAATAATTGAAGTTATAGCTAAATCGTTAAAACTGTCGGAAAGAAAAGAGGAACACAAGCAAGCATTTAAATTTTATAAACAGTTATTTAATCTATTCAAAGCTGGGAGAATATTAGAATCTGACGTGTATTTGAGAGAAGAACATTTTATTAAAAATATGAAATATTTTCCATTAGAGAAATATACAAAGAAAGCACAACTGAATGGTTATAAATTTTTGAATAAATAAATGAAGAAAGGAAAAGGTGTTGTTAATGATATGATAAACAGATTACCATTCGAAATGCATTTACCTGGCTATTCATTTACAGGTCTGGGAACTCAACTATTATGGGGAAAAACTAGATTAATTCCTGATTTATCCTACAAGTCATGGAGTAAACCAATAAACAAAGTAGATGAAACTGCATATAGACATGATATTTGTTATTTGAAAAATAGATACAAAAACTAGAAATGAAATCTGTGATAAAAATATGTTAAATGAATTACATGCTATAGAAAACCCTTCACTTAGAGAAAGAATAGATAGAGGAATTGTTAAACCAATCATTTGTGCAAAGAAGAGATTCGGCCTTGGAATTTCTCCCAATATAAATAGCCTCATGTATTGTTTAAAGTGTAAAAAGAAAACAAAAACAAATATTACAGAAACAAGAACAAAAAATAATAAACCTATAGCAAAAGGAACATTTGCCGTTTGTGGTACTAAAAAGCTGTTTTTTTTTATGAGTTCGATCAGAGATGTTTATTATAATCCTGAAACTGGTTACTGTAGTATAAATGAATTAAAGAAAGACTGGTTTACTAAGAAAAGATATTAAAGAATTTTTACATCAACAGGATGAATATACTGAACATAAACCAATTATAAGAAAATTTAATAGAACAACAACTTTTGTTTCTCACATTGATGATCAATGGCAAGCAGATTTAGTGGATATGCGGAAATTAAAGAGATATAATGATAATACTAATTATATATTAACTGTTATTGATATATTTAGTAAATACGCTTGGGCTATTCCAATTAAAAAGAAAACGGGTGAAGAAATATCCAAAGCATTTACTAAAATATTTAAGGAAAGAAAACCGGAAAAACTACAAACGGATAAAAGAAGTGAATTTATTAATAAAGTGACGTAACTGTTGTTCAAAGATAATAATATTCATTAGTTTACTACAGAAAATATAGAAATAAAATGCTCAGTAGTCAAAAGATTTAATACAACTCTAAAGACGAAAATGTGGAAATATTTTACTGCTAACAACACTAAAAAATGGTTAGATGTTTTAGATAAATAAAAATTACAACAACTCTTATCAATAAAAATGACTCCTGTAGAAGCAAGTATAGAAGATAATAAATCGAAAGTTTATGAAAATTTATTTAAACCTAAAAATATTCGTAAGTCTCCTAAATATTCATTTGGTGATACGGTTAGAATATCTATATATAAACAACCATTTAAAAAAGGTTATTTACCCTCCTTCACAGAAGAAATATTTATAATATCTGAAGTGATGAAGATGGATTCAATTACTTATCGAATTAAAGATTTAAATAATGAAGATATTAAAGGAACTTTTTATGAAAATGAATTAGTGAAATATAATAAGATAGAAAGGAAATAAATCTTTTCCTTAAATAAATAAAACTAAATAAATATGTAGTTAAGTGATTAGGATATCCTGATTCATTTAATAGTTGGGTTGATAAGTCTGATATTTTTTTATATTAACATTTTTTATGACGCAAGATATTAAACAAAATTTTTTCCTTATTAAAGTGTAATCGTTGTAAAATAAATAAACCCTTCGAAGAATATAGTAAAGATAATAATTCTAGAGATGGATATTTTCTATGGTGTAAAGGTTGTACTAATGAATACTATAAAACTTTTTTTTTGTTTTGTTTTTTGAAACCTTGTCCTGTTTTATATTTGTGGTGTAGTAAACACTAGTATTGTGTTTCATTCCAAAGAACAAAAATCAAAACAAACAGTAATAGTTAACCAAGAATGGACAAGAAATAAAAAACAAGAAATTGTAACCAATAATAATTTTAAAAAGCTACCTATAAACCCTATAGACGTAATACATTTAGAACTTAAGAAAAGAATTAATAAACTCGAAAAACTTAACAAGATTACTAAAACAGAAAAATGGTTCATACTAAACGAAGAAAATAACCGTATACCAAAACTAAATATAAAACATAAAACGCACAAGACAGGAGAAAAAGTAAGACCAATAATAGATTTTAAATATTCAACGTTATATAATCTGGAAAAATTTCTAAAACAAAAGCTTAAAAAATACCAGAACTCACACCTTGCAATTAAAAACGCAGACGAACTCATAAAAGAACTAAACAGAATTAATATAGAAGAAAAGTATAGAATAGCAAGCCTCGACATAGTTGATATGTACCCATCAATAACTTGGGATCTAATAGAAGAAAAGCTTAATAACCTAGACGTCAACAAAGAAATAATAGAATTAATAGAATTTACATATAGAAGTAACTATTTCGAAACCAACGGAGAATACTATACTCAGACAGATGGGATAAGTATGGGATCCGTAATCGGCCCGAAACTTGCCGAATTAATTATGATAGACATAGATAATATAATATGTAACATACCAGGAATAAAATTCTACAAAAGATACGTTGACGACATCCTAATAATATATGACGAAACAGAAATTAAGATAGAAGAAATTAACAAGCAGACAAATAGTATACATAAAGCAATAAAATTTAAAATAGAGACCGAAGATATAACAAGACAAAGCATTAACTACCTAGATATTACAATAACAAGATTAAAACATCATCTCGAATATAGAACATTCAAGAAACCGAGCTCTAACCAAGTAACAACAAGATATCAATCAAAAATTCCGTCATACATTAAATATAATATATATAAAATGGAATACGACAAAATCATAAACCGGACAAGCCAAGAAGCACATATAAACGAAGATCTAATGGAATTAAGGAAGAAGTTTCTTTTAGCAGGATTTCCGCAAAGATTACTAAAACAATGGGAAACCAGAATTAAAGACCCCAGAAACCTATGTAAAAATAAAGATAAACAAGTAACTAAAACAAAATATATTAACTTTCCATATATTAGAGGTTTATATGAACAAATCAGCGCAGAAATAGAAAAAATAAACTACAAATTAGCACCATCATATCAAAAAATGGAAAGCAGACTGTTAACCACGAACCAGAAGAAAAACCAGCAAATACCGATCGAAAACCAAGGTGTAGTATACAAAATTCCGTGTACCTGCGCAAACAAAAAACATTACATAGGAGAAACAAAAAGAAAAGTAAAAACTAGACTGAAAGAACACATAGCAGATCTTAAATACAATAGAATAAATTCTGCATTTTACGAACATTGTACTATAAACAACTGTAATATAGATAAAGATAACGTAGAAATACTGCATAAAGAAAAATTAACGTACAACAGAAAGTTTAAAGAAACCATAGAAATCATGAAAAGTAAAGACAGTATAAATAAAAACTTAAGTCTTAAAATAAACGAAAACTGGATTAATATATTATAAATAATATTTTTATAATAATATTTTTTTCTTTTTTTTCTACTATCGAACGTCATACATGGCAACACTTGAGATACCAGCGCATAAGAAAAAATAAAAAGGGGGTGGAAGGTAAAAAGGGGGAGGAAACAGCTAAAAATTTTTTACAGTTGTGTTGTATCGAAATATGCCTATAAGAGAAGATTTTAGAATATTTTAACCTTTTAATTTATAATATATACTAGTTTTACAAAGATTAAAGCAGATTTTACATGTTTTTAAATTATACAAAGTGTAACCAAAAGGTACGTCTATATATCGTTTATGTACTCATTGTTTTATGTAAATTCTCCACTGTAATAAGTTAATATATATATATATATATATATATATATATTGTATTTTAGTTGACTGAAGAGGGGCAAAGCCCGAAACGAGTACAAAACAATGTACCATATCGACTCAACTAATAAAAGAATTTGATGGAAAATTTGCCATGTGTCTTTGGAATAAAACACAATACTAGTGTTTACTATGCCACTATAAAACTTATTATGCTAAAACCAAAGACAAAAAACAAGAATTAATAGAATGTGAATGTGATGAAAAAATTTTTAAATCTTACTTAGAGAATAATTTGAAAACTGATATTCATAGAATGTGATTAAATAAAATTAAAAAGTGTAGTGATTGCAAGAAGGAAAAATCTTTAGATGAATTTCACAAAGATAAAAGGAATACTGATGGATATGGTTATATTTGTAAGGTGTGTTTAATGTTGAAAAAATATTTTTCTTCTTAATAAATGTAACAAATATTACAATCACAAACTGTTCGTCAATAGCGACAATTTTGTAGAGAAAATAATCTTAGAAGTTATTCAAGATTAAGGAAAGCAGACCTAATTGATTTTATAGAGAGATATAAATTTAGTAATATGTTTTACTTTCATGATGATGATATAACAAAACCAAGAAAAAAAAGGAAAAGCAATTAAAATGTGGCATCTGTAATCATTAACCAACCTATGAGAATTTCCACATTGAAAAAAGAGAACATAAGAATGCCTTATATAAAAGTGAAGCTATCCAAGAGATTGAGACAGCATTTGAATCAAGATTAAAAACATATTCGATTAGGAATATATCTGATCATATCATACCAAGAGAAATTTTAGAAGATGTGAGAGAGATACGAGGGTAGTGCCAGAAGTACCCGACCTAACAAAGACGACACACAAAATTTGGTTAAACATATCTTTATTTTTCAACATAGTCTCCTTTTAGCTCGATACACTTTTTCCAGCAATGTACAATAGCTTCGATCCCCTGTTTATAGTGAGAACTGTTGAGCTTCTCAAATAGCCATCAACCGCAGACTCCACCTTTTCGTTGTTGGCAAATCTTTTATCATCAAGCCATTTTTTTAAGTTTGGAAAGAGAAAATAATCCGAGGGAGCTAAATCTGGCGAATAGAGTGCGTGAAGAAGCAATTTGAACCTTAACTCATTGATATTGGCCATCACAATAATGGATGTGTGAACTGGTGCGTTGTCTTGATGAAACAACACTTTCTTTTTCGCCAAAAGTGGCCGTTTTTTCTTGATTTCATCAATCAAGCGCTGCAATAAGTTTGCATAATACTTGCCGTTGATTGTTTTTCCTGGGCGTATCCCAAAAAACTGACGCAATGACCTTGCCAGCAGATAAAACTGTTTTTGCCTTCTTTGGAGCTGATTCTCCCCTTTCAGTCCATTGTTTCGACTGTTTTTCGTCTCAGGTGTAAAGTGATGGACCCATGTTTCATCCATGGTTATGAATCGACGCAAAAACTCGGCTTTGTTGCTGCGAAACATTGCCAAAGACTCGATTGAAACATTCTCACGACGCTGTTTTTGTCTTACTGTGAGCAAACGCGGCACCCATCTTGCGCACAGCTTTCTCATGTCCAAATTTTCAGTTAAAATGCGATGTACAGCACTTTTTAAAATGCCTACCATGTCTGCTAGCTCTCACACTTTGAGTTGACTGTCATCCAATGCAATTTTGTGGATGTTTTCCACCATTTCTGGCATGGTCACCTCACTTGGTCGACCACTATGATGTTCGTCTTGGCAGCTCGTACGGCCTCGTTTGAACTCTGCAACCCAACATTTTATTGTTGTAAACGAGGGAGCAGACTCCCCCAGCGTAGAATCTAGCTCAGCTTTAATATTCGTTGGACAGAAACTTTTCAAATGAAAGTATTGTATCACATAACAATCACAAATTTTTTCCATGTTTACAAATTCACTGAGATTGTTCACTATTTATGGCTGCCAAAAAGTACTATACAACGTAACGTCTTCAACCTTCAAACTTAAGCTTTATATATAACGTTGATATTTTCGAACACAGTCGTTTTTTTCAAACAAGTACCGCCATCTATGTCAGGTCGGTACTTCTGGGACGACCCTCGTAGTTATTAGAAAGATATAAGAGATACGGAAAAAAAATGGATCTGAAAGTAAATTTCAAATTTTTCTGCGAGTATCAAAGAGAAAATGAGAACATGGGCTTTTCATTTAAAACAGAGAATAAGATTATTTTATCAACAACAGATTTGAATACTTTTTATGATAATGTGATTGATAAACTAAGAAGAGAGATGGATGAATTTGAAACAAAAGGATCTGGATGGACTTTAATAGAAATATATAATTTAGAGTTAAGAATTAATAAATATGTTCCATTTAGTGGATCATCCTTCATTGTATTATCAAAAAAACATATCAAAGAGAACCGTATTGAATATTAAGAATGAATATTAAGAATGTTTTGCTTATTGCATCGCTGCATATTTAAATCCAGTAGGTAGTACAATCACAATCCTGGTTGAGTTAGTAATTACAACATTGATGAAATTAAAGAAAAACTTAAAGGAATCAAATCACCTCTCTTTTTACAAGATATAGGTAAATGTGAAAAAAGATTGAATATATCAGTGAATGTTTATACACTGCTGGCCATTAAAATTGCAACACCAGGAAGGAATGATCGTACGAATGTCAAAATCATATGAAAGGAAGAAGAGGTTGGAATATGCAAATGATTAGTATTTCAGCGTATTTAGACGACGCAGGAGGGACAAACGACATCTGAAGCACTGCATAAAAGAAAAGTTGTGCAGTGGATTTCTCATTCGGAAATCGCTTTGTAAGGTCGAGGTTTCATCAGAATATCGTGTTATGCCTCGAATAAGAAGAAGAAATGCTTATCAGCAAGTGTCGGAATTCGATAGAGGCAGGATTGTTGCCTATTGAGAGTGTGGATTATTATTCCATAATATTGCCACTCGCACTGGTCGAAATCCAACCACTGTCATGCGAATATGGAATCGATGGGCTGCTGAGGGTCTTACTGAACAGCATGCAGGATATCAATGCCCTCCCATGACTAATGCCCGACAGGACAGACATATTGTGAGGTCAGCCATGCAAAACCGTACAACCATATCACGGACCATTAGTCAGGAAATGAGCTTGTTTGCAGCACGTCTAGCATCTGCTCCTACGGTGCAACGATGTTTGCAGCAGAGTGGACTGTCAGCACTGCGACCATTACTTCAGCTTCCCTTGACAATGCAGCATAGAGAGAGACGGCCACTCTGGTGCACCCAACGACAAAGCTAGATACAGTAGTGGCACAATGTCGTCTTTTCAGATAGTCCCAGTTCTGCGTGCAGCATTCTGATGGCTGTATACGTGTCTGGAGGCTCCGAGGAGATTGCTCGTCACCTGCTTGCATTCGATATCGGCATAGGGGCCCTGCACCTGATGTGATGATATGGGCAGCCATTGGGTACATGACACTCATATCTCTAGTTCGGATCGACGGTAATTTGAACGCAGAATAGTACATTTCTGACATCTTACGTCCAGTGGTTGTGCCCTATCTTCGAGGCCTGCGAAATGCCATCTTCCAACAAGATAATGCAAGACTTCATGTTCTACGTCATGTTCTGACATTCCTCGATACAGAGGGTATTCGATTGTTGCCCTGACCTGCACGGTCTCCAGATCTCTCACCAATTGAAAACATCTGGTCATGGGTTGCTGAGAGACTGACCCGCCACCCCTCTCCTGCTAATACAGTCGATGAAGCGTAGCATAGACTTGAAGCAGCATGGAACGAGTTGCTCATTTCTGTCATCCAAGCCCAGTTTGACTCCATGCCTAACCGGATAAGGGCCGTTTTAGCTGCCAGGGGTGGCAACTGTGTCTACTAATTTTGCACCCCTGTAAACCCCCAAACTGCTTGCAAATTTAATCATTTTGTCTTCATGCCATACTCTTTATGTACAATAAATATTTTTGTTTTATTTGCTTTCCTTCTTGGTGTTGCAATTTTAATGGCCAGCAGTGTAGTTATGATGAGAAGAATGTAGTGTATCCTCTAAGAATAACAAAATAAGATAAGCATGTAAATCTGTTATATATAAAAAAATGAAGAAAAATCACATTACTGTTTGATAAAAGATCTATCTAGGTTAGTCAGATTACAAATAACAAAACGTAAAAGTAAGATTCTTATATGTGAAAGATGTCTAATGTATTTCTTTTTTAATGATGAAGATAAACTAAAGATCAATGAAATCGATTGTAGAGATAAAAAAGGCAATAAATATTGTAGTACCTAAACCTTCGAAAAGTTCTATTCAGTTTAATAACTTTAATAAATCAATGAGGATTTCATTTGTGATATATGCTGATTTTGAATGATTAACTAAGAAAACGGAAACATGTCAACCAGATCCATCTAAGTCTTATACAATGAAATATCAGAAACATAAACCAATGAGTTTTTCTTATTACATAAAGTATCTTCAAAAAGACTAAGGAACCAGTTGTATCAGAGGACCTGATGCGGTAAAAGAGGTTTGTAGAGATGTTGAAAAATGAAGTTGAGGAAATTGAAAAGATATATAAAGACATTAACCCAATAAATATGACTGTAGAAGATGAAAAACATTATAAAAATACTAATATCTGCCATATATGTGTTAAGGAGATAA